CAATAGTGCAATTTGAACCCACGCCCGAGAGGTGGGACTGCGCACAGAACGCTGCGCTTTAGACCGCTCGACCAATTCTTCTTCCCGGCTTCATGAGGTTAACTTTTCATCCAAAACATTTGCAAAGAAACTTAAACCGACTTTTTTGGTGCAAACAACTAAAATTTTTATGTTGAAAGAGCACCAAGATCACTAGGTTTCTTTCATTTACGGTGTCACGCGCGTGAATTAAAATTCATGTTGCTGAAAAAGATGTAGACAAATAAGCGAAAATTCTGCAGGCCCGTGCGCTTAGATTTAGGTGCACGTTAAAGAACTCCAGGTAGCCGAAATTCGCGGAGCCTTACGCTACGGCGTCCCTCATAATTATATCGTAGTTTGGGACTTTAAACCCCCGAAATTACTAGTAACGATGAATCGGCAGATGCTTCCTTTAGAAAATGAACTCTTTAGAGCGAAAGTAAGACTTGGCGTGGATGGTTTGAGGTACATTAGGGCGACAAACAATTTTATCTGGCTAGTAAATTACCCTTTCGCAATTCCAATAACGCATCTCTTGCGACGAGGAGACGCTTGATAACCGAGAAACGAAGAAAGAAGAAGAAAAGAAGAAATCGCCGTGGCTGATGCCACTTCGAAGCCCCCACGCCAACTCGCTATGGCGTCAAACATTTCGATAGCGTCTGCCAGTACCTACATATAGTTCTTTATTGGCAAAAATAAATAGACTGGCCTCTGAAGAAGCCAGATAGTTAGGCCGCGTTCACACTGAGCATTCCGGCCGCCGAAAGTGCTCCGAATCCGGTTCGGCGGCGGCGAGATCCGCCGAAAGGGCCCTCTCCACGCCGATCGCTCTCGGACCGATTTTTGCGGCGTCTGCCGCCGAATCGGTCACCGCGGACCAATAGGAGCGCTAGTCAAGGAATTTTGAAAAATGGCGGCCAAGCCCTACTCACTTGTTATGCCGCAGTGCACGTAACTGAATGTTGAAACCAACGGGAGTTTAACCTACTCTGTGTCTACTTCGCCTCCGTATTTCGTGAAAGAGGTGACCGAGCTTGCTGTTGGCGTGACCGAGCTTGTTGCGGTCTTGCAGAGCAAAACGAACCCACCAACGCCGCTGGCGTCGGTGGTTTTTCTGCTCTTCGTGCATTACAAGACAGCCACTTGCCAGCAAAGTAAGCAGTACTGTCTTTTCTTGCTTCTTGCGTACGAGAATCGTCGAAGTATACACCACCGGATAGCGTAGTAGCGTTTGCGAGCCGCGGCAACAACCAGGTGACAGCGCATCCATCCCGCGTTCGCCCCGTAGTAGATGGCATATTCGGCGGTGCGGGGCGCGTCCAGTGCGAACGACGCTGCGTTTCGGCGGCCGGGGATTTCGGTCGCTGTAGAAAGCGGATGTTTCAGTGTGAACTAGGCATTAAAGGGCCCCTGCAACACTTTTTGAGCATGGTCCTAAAACGCTGCTGATCGGTAGTAGAGGTTCTCGACAACACGCGAGACAAATATGATAGCACAGCACGAGGCCTGGAATTCACAATAAATGATCAGAGTCAGCTAAACATTGCTTTCTCTTCTCTCGACAAATCACGGAAGACGCTAGAAAATCACTCGTAAAAAGCCTATCTATCAGCCATTGGCTTATTTGAACATCGCGCGCTCAGTCGTTACAAAGACCGCCGCGGGAGGCCGCGACTTGTCCACGCATGCGTGCGCGGTCACACTGAAAGCCGTACATTCGAAGAAAAAAAAGTGCTCAAGGCCACGAGGCACGCGTGGCGTTTTTATTTGCCCCTGTCATCCTCTTCTACTTAGCTTCCAGCGCTTTCGACGGGACGAGAGAAAAGAGAACGCAATTGCAGCGTGCGACAAAGTTTTGTAACTCCACTCGAACTGTACGGATTCTTAAAATTTTTGCGGCGTTGAAATCGTGGGGCAATATGCTCTTCCAGTGAATTCAGTCCATGGTTACTTGTAAACGACTTTTAGGGTCCCTTTAAAATACGTTTTCGGAAATGTTCTTGAGCTAATATGACTCAATTACGCGAAGAGTCCTTTAATTCCGTGTCGTTGCTTTAACGCTCATGTCCAGATATTTCTTGCTCTCTCTCTCTCTCTCTCTCTCTCTCTCTCTCTCTCTCTCTCTCTCTATATATATATATATATATATATATATATATATATATATATATATATATATATATATATATATATATATATATATATATATATTTGGCACTCTGGCATTATACATCTGTGTGATGGTAAAAAACGGCAGTAAAGTTTTCAAGGCATAGTTTATCAGTGTAAATTGATCTGTTGTTTCACTATTTAGTGCCAATTTAAAAGGCCCTTCCCAGCCCGTGTTCAAAGACGAGGGGTGGTTTCCTCTTCGCCTTCACTACTCGTTAGACAGGTGATATATCATCCTTGCTACTTATTTCTTAAAAAAGCATGTGTACAATGTCAGCGCTTAGCGTTGAGCCTATAAAAATTTCGCGCTTGTAGACTGGACGCTGTAATCGCCGCTTGCTCAGTCAGAACCACACAGAATGAAGTGAAATCCGTTGATCGCGCACGATAGTCACGCGATACGAGGAAGAATGGGTGGGCGGCTGAATGGCAAAGCAGTGCAGGAGACAATTTGCATCTGATATTTTACGTATACGAACCAATCTAGAGTATGTACACAACAGACGTCACGAAAATGCGTCACGAAGTACGCTATAAAGGCGAGAAGCGCTAAAAGAGAATGACGTGTTGCATTTTTTTGTATTTTCAGAGGCTGTTCAGGGGCCCTTTAACCAGGAGATGGAGATCACCTTGTGATCACAGATATGTTCTTTCATCAGATGAGTTGGTTAAATTTAGATATCACTACATGAGACATGCTTGTATGCAAACTAACCAATTCAACCTGACGTAGTGCACTGAGTAAGAAGTCAAAAAGGTGGTACTACCGCGGATACTCATCGTCCCGGAGACAGTAGATGGCCTCCTTGCTTCCGTTGGTGCAGCCAGGAAGCGTGTCCGGTCTGTAGGTGTACATCACGTCGTGCGCAGCAGCTGAGTATGGGACATCCGGTTCTCGGCCATCGATGAAACCTGTTCTCTTCTGAGGTGCTTGCGGCGGGATGTCCAATACGCCACCGTACCCGCCCTGATACAACGGCCTACGCACCACGCCTCCCGCCGGTGGTCGCTCAGCAGTCCCCTTTGCAGACGCGGGTGGTGGGTAGCCGATCATGTTCCTTCCTGGGTACACGGAATACACGGGCTGAACAGGAATGGCACGGCCGTCCCTGATTTCGACCAGCTGATTCGGCGTAAAGCTGTTCGAGAACATGTCTGGAAGAGCGACGACTCTGTCGTTGCTGGGAATGGGGATGAAGCGGAATCCCCGTGGTACCGCTCCATTGGGGGAGTACCCGCCACCTTGTAAGTTCCCTGTCCCACTAGGGGAGAACCCAGAGATGGGGTTAATGTTCTGTATGGGCAAGTAGTTCTGGTAGACAATACCAGAGTTAACCCTTCCCTGCTCGAGCGGAGGGCGCAGTGTCTGCTGGCCGGGCCTTGACGTCGTCACATGTTGAAGTGACGGATTGAATGGCTGCTGCTTGCGTTGAGGAACTTGTAGCCCACCTTGAACGATGGGGTAGCTTGGCCTGAAAAGTCTAGGGTCCAAACTGTACACCTGATCTTCACCCTGTCCTTGAGGGTAGCCACCATTTTGAACAACGTTCGGGTACAGCTGAGGTTGTACGTTGTTAGGATAAGGCCCAGCTTGCGGTTGATAGGTGACTTGGTACGCTTCATTCGGTACCTGGAACACAAGGGGACGTCCATCGGGGCCTAGTTGTGGACGTTGGTGGGCATTTAGGGGAAGTGCCTGCTGCGAACCATCAAGAGGAGGTCTCTGCTGGTTCGGGTAACCATTGTTCAAACTGTCTGCTAAACCTTGCCTCAGGACGTTCTCAGGGACTCGCAATTTTGGCTGATTTTGTTTGTGGTTTTCAATGCCAATAATGCTGCCTTGAGCCTGTTCCTGCTTCTGAGTCTGATTAGCAGAAGGGACATTGAATGCTGCAATGTTTAGAGGTGGTATGCTCTCATTACCAGCGGCATTTCGAAAGGCCTGAGCGACAAAATCGATGTCTCTTTGTGTGAAGAATCTTGGAATTCCACCGGCACTGAGAGGGTCCAGTGGAATTGATCCTCCGAAGACCGGCTGAGGGGGTTGATAACCGTAGCCGGGCCTCGGGAGGGGTCTGTGAAAGTTGCCGATAGGCAACAGTCCGGGTTGCGCGTTGCCACCTGCTTCATTCGAGGGGGGCTCGACGTTTGGTCGTATGGTATCCCGCTCTCCTTGGCCAGGTCCCTTGGGAAACCTTCTTACTACCACCACTGGATTCTTCTTCCGCGTCGTGAAGAAAGAGTCGGGGTTGAAAGTCGGCTCTGTGGGCACCACTTGCGGAGCGTTGGCTGCGCTCTCTACAGGCGATGGGCGCAACACGGGTGGTGGCGGGAATAAAGTTGTCGTGGGATCAGCGTCGTCTTTTACTTCGAGTGGCAACTTTTTATAATCTGGAACGACGTTCTGCAGGCTCTCAGTGCTCGTGGGGGCCGTGTTCTCTAGCTTCGTCTTCAGCCTGCGGCTGCCGAACAGCGGCTTCCTACGGACGGCCAGTATGCTGTGATTGAATGTTCGAGTTCTGTTGCGGTACAGCTTGAACGATGGTGTCGTTCTTGTGGTTGTGGTTTGATGTTGTCGTTCTGGTGGTTGGCACTGAGCCTCCAAGATCGCCAGACACAGCAGGAGCCATCTGCATATCTGCAATGACAGGAATACACGAAGACCTTATGAACACTGTTTGCGGCATGTACAAAAGATACTATTTCGAGATCTCGATTTGGACGTCTTGAGCGTACTAATTGGACCAAAGCACACAGAGCTGTTAATAAGTGAACAGAAAGGAGTCCGGGTAAGACTTTCATACGATGTCTTTCGACGTTTAAACAGGAACTGTTTCTTCGTACATCCCTTAGGTGTCAACAACTTCCTATCTATAGCATTCATTTGACATTCCTCAAACACTCGTGCGCTGTACGAATTATGCCTTTGAGTAAAGACGAACTCGCTCAGCAACATGACCATCCAAAGCATATAACGTTTTGTTAGAGAAGAAACTGCACAGTGCATTCTAAAACATGCTTCATTACAAGAATATCTTCAATCGTTAAAGGTACTGTCAAGTTGTGGAGTCTAGGACAAGTTCAGCAGTCCCAATTCAACCTACTGACCCATTTAGGGTGACCAATTCAATTCAGGTCACGAGGCTCACAACGAACCATTCTTCTATCCGAAACAAAAGGCAGAACACAACACTATATACAAAGTCACAAGTGCGTTCGAAGCCGCAAGTACGATGGAAAGGCAAAGCCATATACCCACCAGTCTCATATGGCGGCTGAACGATCGCAGCGTCACCGTTACCTCTAGTAAATATAGTAAACTCTGTGCATGCACTGGCATACGCGTACCAGTTGCATTAATTAAGCACTCTAGGTGCACACAGTGAAACTCCATCATGGTTTAATTTTAACCACTGTTGCGTAGAGCGGCTTGTTCATTGTTGACTCGAGCAAAATGAAGGCAAGGAATTTACTCACCGCTAGCCACGAGCTATAGGGATGCCTTGCTGGACACAAATTGAAATGTGTATACTTAGTACCACTGAATAAATGAATAAATTTACGACACAGCACATGTAAAGTTCATGTTATAGCTCACAAAAGCAGGTGGAAGGACACAGTGGTGCAGCCATGGGGTGGAAAACCAAGCCCGTGCCCTCCACCCCCACCCGAATTTTTTTCGCCACGACATACAGAGTGAGAAATGACCCTTTAACCCCCCCCCCCCCCTCCAAACAAATCAGCTTACGCCCCCGGACGGGCAAGAATTCCACATCAATATGCAAGAACGACGCCAATCGATGGTACGCTGTGCGCGGTCGGCTGTTGCGCTGGTTTCGGAGGCTTCAAGAACTGCGTGGTGGAACCAAGCGGAGCTCACATTGGAAGACACTTGCGTAGAACAAGCCACAAGTGGGGTAGAGCTCGGCCGCCTTTAGACATGGATGCAGTAATAGTATTTTCCTTTGCTTACGCTTATTAGGCTGGAACAACCCAATTTTAAATCACGTGGGTGTCGGAGCGGGCCCGCAATCGACGACTATATATTATATATATATATATATATATATATATATATATATATATATATATATATATCTATATATATATATATATATTATATATATATATATATATATATATATATAATATATATATATAATATATATATATATATATGCAGTACAAGTGCTGGCACCGCAGTTACGTTAGCCATGGTTTAGGCTGCCTGTGTAACAAGGATATGACAAAACGTGATCGCGCCAAAGGCCTCTCAGGGGACATCGAAATATGTTACGCGAGTCTTTTGTAAAAATTCTCGAGCAGCCCCCCCCCCCCCTCTCCCCCCAAAATTAATTAAGGCAGCTTCACATTGTTGGTGCGAAGCTGCCTTCTTTGTTACTTTTTATTTTAACCTTTTCACCTTTCTTTCTTTTTCTGCCTTCACTCGACATTTTCTCTCTTCTATAGTCTTAGTTTATTTCTTCTTTCTATTTCTCGCTCCTTCCATTTTTTCTTCTCTTGTATCTTTTTCTTCCCTTTCCTTCTGTCTTTTTTTCTCACTTTCTTTTTCTTTCTGTCTACGCATTTCTCTATATTTGATTTTCTTTCAGTCTTTCTTTGCCTTTCTGTTTTTCTTACCTTTCTTTTTCACTCTCTCTCTTTCTACGCTATGCTTTACCCTGTTCCCTCCTCCTTCCTCTCCCACCCACAGGCTCTGCTGGCGCGCCTCGATAGCCGGGTGGTTACGATACTCTGATCGTCAGGGATACTTTCGCCGGGAATTTCTCTCTCTGTACTGATTCTCTTACCCATCAGCGCTATTGTAGGCCATGCTCGTGTTCTGGGAGCCAAGGACGAGGAGAGCGTGTGCCGGTTCATCATAATTTCTGTTCACCTTTTATGTACCGATGTTCGCACTAAAAATACTATCCTCGTCAAATGTCGGAGGTCTCATTTTCGTACCTCCCGTGACCACATGCTAGCAAATATGCATTTTCCTCCTCGCCTGCTCCTTGGGCCCTTGCGTCGCGGCTGTTTCGAAAATTCGCTTTCACAAACTGCTCAAACATCGGGTGACATCGTTCCACATGATGGTTGTGTCGGAAAGGTGACACAGCGTATAGGTGCGCTTCGTGAACGTGCTGTCACTCGTACGCTGCTTGAAACTGTGCTATAGGGACATGAATTACCACACAGGGCTAGATACCATGCGTTCGTTGGGTTACAGAGAAACCAGCTCTGCGTTTTGTCGCTCATGGAGTGCGGGTACATGGAATATTAATCTCACGCTGTATTCGTAGGCTGCTCGAAATGAGAGCGCGAGAGGCAGAGTATCAACCAGAGCAGCTAAAGTGGTTAGGAGCAGCTAAAGCCCCTTGATATCGGGGTTTTAGGAGCAGCGCATTTGTAGCGCCACCATGCAGCCAGTGCGAGAAGCCACCGGGTAAATATTCTTGCGCTGCATCAACAAATGGCACCGATCAGTTAAAGGGCCATCTCTGACATGTCTGGTCGCAGCTGCCTTCTCAGCTCGGCACATCTGTCGATCGTCGTCGTCCGAGCTGCAATAGCTTAGTCTCCGAGTTGCAGTAACAACATTGATGTTCCCTCCCCCTTCACTTGTGACATGGTGCATTTATGGCTCCGTAGATGTACACGCAATCAAAACCACCACTAACGGTACACACGCGCGTTCGGCAATGTCTCCTTCCGAAATGCGCGCTCGCGCTGTCACCTGACGGCAACCACGGGATGTGGCTGCCGACACGTGATCCGTCCTCGCAGCCCTTTCCCACCCATATCGTAGTAAGTGATTCCTAAAAGAGAGAGAAGAAGATAAAAGTGAGCCCCGTAACTGTCTGCATCATAGTGCGACACCTCAACAGTAGCTCACAAGGGATGGAGGTAAGGAGGAATCAAAAGGATAGATAGGATTAAAAGGGATAGAGATATAGCAAGGACAGAGAGACCCACAGACAGAAGTAAAGACAAGATAAGAAAGATGGACACGGTCGCAAGAGTCCGAGAACGGGGTACCACTCAGCGAGAGCTTCACGGCTCTAGGAGATGGCGGAGGGCGAGCCGGTCGGCCAGAGCTGCGCTGTCGTCGGAGATCGCAAGGGCACAAATGGTTGACACGAAATCCAGCGAGCGAGTCCGTCCCGCCACGCTCTCACTTCAAAGTCAGAGCTGTCGAAAGCGCTCCGAAACAACCAACCGAAGGTAGTCCAACGTAACAACGAACGCTTCATCGCAATGATCGCTTGGACTTTGCTCCTAAAGGAGGCTGCAGTGGCTTGGACGACTGCGGGAGCGTACCGCTAGCGAGTGGAATCAACGAGATCTGAACGAAGTCGTTAGTTGCCGACCACGATACACTGCCGCGGTGGTGTCTTTTTCACTGCACAGCACCACGAATGGTGCTTAGAAAGGGCGAACTTGACACTGCACAATTATGACGTATTAACCACTTTTACTTCCACTTTACAGATTTATTGGTTAAACGGATTTGTTCCCTACACGTAAACAACAAACTTTAAATCTAAATATTATCACTAACACGAACCTACAAAGGTATCATAAAAAAGCGAATAGCATTGATTGAGCTTTGCACTTGTCATGACAATTGTCGACGATGGTTTCTGCGCACTTATTTTTCTCTCTCATTAAGGGACAGTCTGTGCTCAGCGTGACAGAAGACATGACAGAAGACATGAACGCACACATGAAAGAAAAAAAAATGCTTTAAAACCAAAGCATGAAGATTACAACTTTTTATCGCAAGGAAAAAATGATAATATTGCTATTGTGTAAATCATTAAAGTATTAAAATATCTCAGTATACGGAATAGACGCACTATTGTGAAATATAAAGTCGAGGGGGAGACACGAGGTCTTTTTCTGCCAGGCCAGCCCCTTTTAATTCACCCATCTCGAGTAGGACGTTTAAAAAGCTCCAAAAAATTACTTTCACGCAAGTTGCAAATTGCATATGTTCACTATATGTACTCAAGAAACAAATGCTAGATTTTCTGTACACAATAACTAATACGTAATTTTGGACCTACAGCTTTTATTATTGAGCTTTGCTATTCGCGTGGATGCTTCTAGATCAGCTGTATCCTTAAATGAAAGTACCACGTGCTACAGTCGTTAGAAATCAGTGTTTTCAAAGGCGCACATAATAGAAACTCCAAATCATTTAGAGCGATGACACATACTTTCGAAATTGTGTTCCCGGTAGTTTCGCTGTAATGAATCAATTGTTAAATGACACGTAAACTCAGGCTTGCTCTTAATACCTATCTTTCATCGATAAGGAGAGAGAGCGAGAAAAAACAACACATTTTGTGTCTTTGTGAAATCGCTCATTAAGAAGCAGAATGACTAAGCCTTTTCTCTTTCTTTCATCATCATCATCATCATCATCATCATCATCATCATCATCATCATCATCATCATCATCATCAGCCTGACTACGTCCACTGCAGGACAAAGGCCTCTCCCATGTTCCGCCAGTTAACCCGGTCCTGTGCTTGCTGCTGCCAATTTATACCCGCAAACTTCTTAATCTCATCGGCCCACCTAACCTTCTGTCTCCCCCTAACCCACTTGCCTTCTCTGGGAATCTAGTTAGTTACCCTTAACGACCAGCGGTTATCCTGTCTACGCGCTACATGCCCAGCCATGTCCATTTCTTCTTCTTGATTTCAGCTATGATATCCTTAACCCCCGTTTGTTCCCTAATCCACTCTGCTCTCTTCTTGTCTCTTAAGTTTACACCTACCATTTTTCTTTCCATTGCTCGCTGCGTCGTCCTCAATTTAAGCTGAACCCTCTTTGTAAGTCTCCAGGTTTCTGCTCCGTAGCTAAGTACCAGCAAGATACAGCTATTATATACCTTTCTCTTGAGGGATAGTGGCAATTTACCTGTCATAATTTGAGAGGTCTTGCCAAATGTGCTCCACCCCATTCTTATTCTTCTAGTTACTTCTATGTCGTGGTTCGGCTCCACGGTTATGACCTGGCCTAAATAGACATAGTCTTTTACAACTTGAAGTGCACTATTACCTATCTCGAAGCGCTGCTCTTTTCCGAGGTTGTTGTACATTACTTTCGTTTTCTGCAGATTCATTTTAAGACCCACCTTTCTGCTCTCCTTGTCTAACTGCGTAATAATGAGTTGCAATTCGTCCCCTGAGTTACTCAGCAATGCAATGTCATCGGCGAAGCGCAGGTTACTAAGGTGCTCTCCATTAACTCTTATCCCTAGCTGTTCCCATCCTAGGCTTCTGAAAACCTCCTGTAAGCACGCGGTAAATATCATTGGGGAGATTGTGTCCCCCAGCCTTACACCCTTCTTGATTGGTATTCTGTTGCTTTCTTTATGAAGCACTATGGTAGCAGTTGATCCCCTGTAGATTTCTTCCAGGATGTTTATATATACTTCATCTACGCCCTGATTCCGCAGTGCCTGTATGACGGCTGATATTTCTACTGAATCAAACGCCTTCTCGTAATCTATGAAGGCTATGTATAGTGGTTGGCTATATTCTGAGCATTTCTCTATTACCTGATTGATAGTATGAATGTGGTCGATTGTTGAGTAGCCTGTTCGAAATTTTGCTTGTTCCTTTGGTTGATTGAATTCTAATGTTTTCTTTATTCTGTTAGCAATTACCTTTGTAAATAGCTTGTATACTACAGAGAGCAAGCTAATCGGCCTGTAATTCTTCAAGTCCTTGTCATCTCCTTTCTTATGTATTGAGATGATGTTAGCGTTCTTCCAAGACTCTGGTACTCTTCCCGTCAGGAGACACCTCGTAAACAGGGTGGCTAGTTTTTCTAACACAATCTGTCCTCCATCTTTCAGCAGATCTGATGTTACCTGATCCTCACCAGCAGCTTTGCCTCTTTGCATGCTCTCCAAAGCTTTTCTGACTTCTTCTATCATTACTGGTGGGGTGTCATCTGTGTTACTGCTAGTTCTTATAGTATTAAAGTCGTGGTTGTCCCGGCTACTGTACAGATCTCTGTAAAACTCCTCCGCTATTTCAACTATCCTATCCATATTGGTAGTTATTTTGCCCTCTTTGTCCTTTAGTGCATACATCCGATTTTTGCCTATCCCAAGTTTCCTCTTCACTGCTTTGAAGCTTCCTCCGTTTTTCAGAGCGTGTTCAATTCTCTCCATGTTATACCTTCTTACATCGCATACTTTACGTCTATTAATCAACTTCGTAAGCTCTGCCAGTTCTATTTCGTCTGTTGTACTTGACACTTTCATGGTTTGACGCTTCTTAATTAGGTTCTTCGTTTCCTGGGAAAGCTTGCCAGTGTCCTGTTTAACTACCCTGCCTCCAACTTCCACTGCACACTCCGTAATGATACTCGTCAGATTATCATCATTGTATCTACGCTAAGGTTGGTTTCCTCACTAAGAGCCGAGTACCTGTTCTGCAGCGACACTCTGAATTCCTGTACTTTCCCTCTCAGTGCTAGCTCATTGATTGGCTTCTTGCGTATCAGTTTCTGTCGTTCCTTCTTCAAGTCTAGGCGAATTCGAGACCGTACCATTCTATGGTCACTGCATCGTACCTTGCCAACCACTTCCACATCCTGCACGATTCCTGGGAGACGATCCTTATAAAGTCTATTTCGTTCTTATTTTCGCCATTAAGGCTCCTTCATGTCCACTTGCGGTTTTCTCGTTTTCGGTAGAAGGTATTCAAAATCCGCAAATTATTGCGTTCTGCGAATTCTACTAGTAGCTCTCCTCTGGCGTTTCTAGTGCCGATGCCATAATCTCCTACTGCCTGGTCTCCAGCCTGCTTCTTCCCTACCTTTGCATTAAAGTCGCCCATCACTATAGTATACTGTGTTTTTACCTTACTCATTGCCGATTCCACCTCTTCATAGAAGCTTTCAACTGAAGCGTCATCATGGCTGGATGTAGGCGCCTAGGCCTGTACCACCTTCATCTTGTATCTCTTATTTAGTTTAATTACGATACCTACCACCCTTTCATTAATGCTATAGTATTCCTCTATGTTGTCAGCTATGTTTCTGTGAATTAGATGGTACCAAATGGAGCTTATCAGTCAGTCTATGCTGTCCGTATCGTCTATTTTTGTGGATAACAGAGTGATTGAGCACAACGTAAATGACAACGATTCTAATGCAGCCTAACTACAGCACATCTAATCAAAATTATTATGAGAAACACTTACGCATGTCTATTTCGGAATCGTCAGTCCAATTAAAAGGACTCCGAAGATTATGACCCATATCGCATTCGGCCTACGACGAAACTTAATAAAATACAGGCGAAGAAGTCAAACAGCACCAAATCTTTAAATTTGGTCGTTGCTTTAACATCGAAAAACGAGCTTCGAATTCAGTACTGCTCGAAACGCTCACACGATTTTCGACGGCGAGTCTAGCTGAAAGCGTTTCGTCTGTCGCAACAGTTTTATCTTCGGACATAAGCAGCACATAATAGGTAAAGTTTTTCTTAGTATTACATAAAAACAAGTTTTTTTATTGAACTTTGGGAACCTTTCGTTTGAGGTTAAATCTCATACAACGTAATTGCGAAATTCACCCCACCAAGTAGCCGCTGTTTTTGGAAGACAGACGACAAGTTCAGTGACAGTTTGTCGTCTGCTCTCCTTTTCCCCGCTTAATGATGCGCGGCAGGTGAGTGAACTTTGACTTTTCAGGAATAATACCGGCGAATGAAACTGATTTACGGAGGTGTTGTTTTAGACAACGTTATCAATCATATGAGTTACGAAACTCCCCATACTCTCCATGTATCAAAATCCGAGAACGCCATTGGCAAAATGGCAGTATAGTGATTGCCGCGCTGTCTTTTAACAGTAAAAATAACTAAAACACTTACTATTTCGTGTTTTTTTCCGTTAACAGGATTGTGAGCGCCGTCGCATTCTGCCAAACAGCATGGCAGCGCCTAGACAGTTGTAGGACTTGTTCTTGGGTAAGTTGGTTCCTAAGTGTGCTGAGCATGTTACCAAGGTGATGTTATTTTGACGCAGTGGTGAAGACGTGATAAAAGGCAGAGGAGCTGCTCTTTCTCTTGATGCTCTGTCCTTTTTCATGTTTTCCGGGTTGCGCTAGAAGTAACGTGGCTATAAGCGGTGTGTTCGTGCGGTGAACGTGTTCCGTCGCGCAGCATCCGTCGCCGCTCAATTTCATTGACCGCATAGCGTATAATGGACGGTGCAGCGAAGGCGGTAGTTTACCAGATTCATGGTGAGAGCCCACGATGTTTACATTTGGCAAAATAGCGAGCGGCAAGGCGTGATGCAAGTGGGATGCAGCGTTCATCCAGGTGGATCTAAACTGTTTTGGTAAGTGCAATTTATGTTGTTTCGCGTAAAATGGCTTTGTTGCAAAAAAAAAAAAAAGTTGTTGTTGAGTGTGGTTTTGGTTTAAAGACGTCCTTGGCGCTTATACGTGGGCGGGCACTATAACCAGAGGTCCCCTAAAAATAGGGAAGCACCTTTGTCTTCTGCTTTGTTTTCAGTAGAATCGCCACAGGAAGCCAGAGTGCTGCAGGCGAATCATTGTTGAACATTGTGTGCTCGGACGTTGTGCTGGAAAAAAATTTACGAGCCCAGTTACCTAGATGGACAACAGGGCTGCATAGCGCTTTCTTCAGATTTTTGCAAGGCTTTGACCACGCTTTGTGGAAACTAACAACTGATTGGACACCGGTTGAATGCAAGTACTGTTTTTCAGAACAGTAGCGCAGGGAACCACACGGGCGGCGACTGATGAAGACGTGACCACCAGTTGCCGGCTTTGCGCTTGTGTTCTGAATTACACCAACTGCAGTATCGCTTTCGTTTGGGCTAGTTGGTGTATATGTGGAACATAATGGTACTTCAAATGGCTAGTGGGACAACGAAGAGATGTATACACAGAATGGGTGCTCTTCTTTGGCCGTGTTCTTTCGCACAACCGAGCACTACGTTCCACGTATACACCTACGAGCCCCATCGGGCTGTCCACTTGTACTACTATTTGTAAGGCTTCTAATGGCACTTCGTAACATCCTAAGCGGTGTAAAAAGACATGGCCGATCGTGCTCTCCATCGGAGGCATTGTTTCATGCCAATAGAACCTGGTTATTGCCAACCAGCACCCTCCGGTGCTTTCTCTCGGGTATGAGTAAATATGCCACGTGATAAATGGTAGCTGCACTTTTTACATATACAGAGTATCTTTTTGTTAAAATGCAAAAAAAAAGCATGAAAGGTGTCACCGTACAATTTTAGTGGTGTCATTGACATCAATTTCTCTTTTTTAGGTGTTCTGCATTAACGTGCCTGTGACTTCAGTAGTATGAAGGCCAATGACAGTGGTGAGAGTTTCTTGAATGAAGTAATTTTGTTGAAGACAAGCATTCCTTCACTGCATGAGAACCAAACGTAAGATATCCTACTTGAATCTTTGCCTGATATCTTGTTCAAAGGATACATGAATGGGGTTGAGACAGTTGAAGCAAAAGTGTTACTTGCAAGAAAATAAGTTGTAAGCATTTAGTGTACAGTATCAATAATGAGCTGTAGCATCTAATGTACTTGTTCACTGACTCTAATATGAGCTATATATTGATGGAGACAATTTTGCACATAAATAAAATTCACCTGTCAAAGAATTTATTTGGAGCTACCACTCAAAGTGAGGGCATGTAGTTTGAAGCTGGAAGCACCCCAGCAGTTGAAAATGTGATGCACTGATTTGCTAAACGTATTTCTCGCATGCCATGCTAATGACAAAGTTTATGAAAAACATTACATTATAAGGATCAGTGCTATGATGGGCCAGCACTGAACCGGTTTCCTTATTATATGTGAGCCAGTCACACTTCTGCTTTCATGTGGAACGAGTGTATTCCGGCCCCTGTAACCATTGCATAACAGCAGATGTATGAAAACGTTTGCTAAGGCATCATATTTGGAACAACACAAACATGGGTAGCTATACCAATTCAAAACAGATAATAAAGAAGCAAGCAACTCACTATTGTTCATGAAATTACATTTTGCAAGAAACAAACAGAAACACTGGTAAACACATTACTTAATCTAAAAAAAATGTAGACAGTGAACACAAGGCAAGAAAATTCTATCACAGAATACAAGAAAAGTATAAGAAGACAACATTCACAAATATACTATATCACTGCAGAAAGACACCTAGCTTGTAACTAATTATGAATGCCATCCTGCTAGTGAGGTCACTGCAAGCGTATGCTTTTGCTGTGTTGCTACAAGTGAACTCAGTTCTGTTAGTCAACATACTTTTGCAGAAGCCATTTTATGTATATAGGGCTGCAGCCTCTTCGAAGTGTGAAGCATTTTTCATGTTCTAGATGATCTCCTGACCACTGCGCATGAATCTACTCTGTTCTTGTATCATGTCAAATATATTGAGACTCAGCATTGCTCTTTTTCTCAAGTGCTTTCATTACCTTTGTCAACTGGTGCAAGTATTACATGCGCCAATTTTTAATCTGACCCTTCTGCTGCAGGTAGTCTCTCAGCCTTATGTGCTTGCACATGACTTCTTTCTGTAGTGTGCCAAAGCCTGCTTTGTTTTGGTTAGGGTTGCATTTTGTCAAGTCCTGAGAAATGAGAGCATGTCATTGCAGTCAACTTGCTTACTTTTTTTGATAAATTTGTTTGTTCTTTCTCTTTCTAATTGGTTTCATGGTACACTTTCAGTGCTGGCATTACGTACTTTGCTTCAGATGAAAAACCACAGCCCCATGCCAGGGTCAGTGGCTTTCAGAGAAATCCCTGCGACATAGCAATACATACGTGTCGTCTTTCACTCTGACACAGCCGGGCTTCCGCAATACGTAAGGTGTCCTTTTTTTTTTGTCTCAGATTTTTCATCACATTGAAGCATTGTAAACAGATTGCACTTTGTCGACACATTTGTTGCTCAGTGAAGTAAGTGCTGCTCTTGTTTGTTGGCAGTTTATGAAGCTGCTGAAGGGCCTTGTAATGAAGATTACAAACACCACAGTATGGAAAGGGAAAGTAGCGCTATCAAAGCCAGCTGTTGTACACTTACAGCACTGGTTGTGAATGTCATCCACTTGGTGGCTAAGTAATCATGTTATTTCGCTGCTATAGCACAAATTCAGGATTTTCATCCCAGGCCATGTCACACATTCGAAAAGGGAAAAATTCAAACTTCTTGTATAGGTGCATTCAATCAAGATTACATAAGCTTTGCTCTTTTTCGTGCATGTGCTGTCTCGTCCGACTTGCTAAGTTTCTTTGACATGTCTCTAGCAAAGAAATGCATTCGTAACATTGTGTATGTCTTAAGCATAATTGCAGTAAAGGTGTCCTTGTGCATTTCACACCCTAGTTTTGGAAACATTGTTGTCTCTATAGCATCCAGAAGCTTCCAAAAAATGACACTGCACAGTTGAAATTGGCTAAGTGCACTTGATAACGTGCTTTCTAGTCTAAATGAGAGGTACAGCACAGTCCACTGTTAGAGGGAACACGTGAGCGCGTGGCTGGCGGTCCGTGGGGCGCCAACTGCTGGCGAGATTTGGAAATGCGGAGCATGCGCGCAGAATCGCAAGGGCGCTACTTGCCCGCGTCGTCTGCTACTTCCCCGCCCTACGCTCGGCGCATGCTAGCGACAAGCTTGCTGTGCTCGCTTCATCGACTATCGATTCCCATGTCTTATTAAAAACGGCTGGCTGGTTTGAACTGCGTTGGAAAGCTTACAATTACATTTTTGGTGGGCACAAACACCGTGCAGGCTATGGCGAGTGATGGGCTTTGTTATCACTTTTACAGAATGCCACAGCTGGGGGCATATTTACTCGCTGATTGCATTTATGGCATAGCTAGTTGTTAGAAGCCGCATGTCTTAGAGTACCTGAGGACGAAAGGCTTCGAATAGTCGAGCTGTACACCAAAGAATAGAGCCAGCTTACTGTCTCTGTCATCGCGAAAAGGCCACTTTCTCATTACCAGCATAATCATCAGCATTACGAATGTAATTTTTTTCAGTGCCTAGTTTTGTCACACGCAGTCCTATTTTGTTTACACATATCTGCATTTTATTTTGTGTCTTGCTGGGCAGCGATGTGTTTCATTACCTTTGCACTATTCAAACGTTTCGAGACTACAGATCTGACCTCACTCGACTTGTCTGTCACAAAGGTCTTGGGAATAAATTTTTCTTTGTTTACTCCGTAGTGTTCTACGTACACCGTTTTTCAGCGCGCGTGTTGGTGAAACGTAATGATTTTCGAAAAAGTGAATGCTATCACATATTCCAAATAAGGAGCTTCTAGCGTTTTCGCTTTAACGAAGAAAACAAAATGTAACGCGAGTTATAACTAACTATTGCTGGGTATTGCGATCCACAATAATTATATAATTTTGTGTCCTGCCATAGTGGGATACATTGAAGTAGTTTAAAACATATGTTTTCTTAACCTTTTTCTGAATACTATTGGCACATGTTTTTTTTTTTTTTGCATTTCGCCTGTATTCTGAAATCGCTGCTGTGACCATGAATGGAATCGCAACAAAGCTGCCGAGAAAGCACAACAACAAACCAACGGCACTTTTTTCTGCGCGCTGATTACCCGGGGAGGAGCAGGGAGAGTGGCGAGGACATGAATCGCACTGCGGAAAAGCAAACGCGGTATCCAGTGCACTGCAAGCGCCGGAGTGGAAAGTAGCAGACGAAACGCGGCAAGCCCCACCCTTTCGCGTCTATGCGCATGAGCTATGTCTACAAATCTCGCCACCAGTTTGCGCCATGCGGGCCGTCAGCCATGCGTTGCCGTGTTCCATCCAAGAGCGAACCATACTGTACATCTTTTCTGTGGGGTGCTTTAGGCTCATTTCTTTAAATGACCGAACAAATGTCACCCATGCTGCCGGCATATGTGGAGCATCAGTTTGAATGTCAGCTAAGCAGTTTAAACATACTTTTTGCTTTGAGATTTCGTGCACAATGGAGCCAGCAAGGTAATATACCACACAGTCTTCTGCAGTTACCTTGCTGTATGCGTGGTCCTTGCTTGTGCAAGAAGTGCACCCATTGTGCTCGTATCTTGCAGATGGAAGCAGAGCTCGTCAAGCTTCTTCTCTAAGCTTGCTTGGAGCTTTCCTTTGTGCCATTTGTTGTCTTTGGCACCAGCGTCTAGTACACCTGAAAGAACAGGCAAGATGTCCTCATGGGCTTCTACATTGTCTTTGATCGCTGCTTTCATTGGGGCATCGATGGTCAGGAGCCGAAAGATGTAAGAGAAGTTCACTATGGTAGGGGGATCTTCATGTTCCCTAATGAGCGAATGTTGCCGAAGAACCTCTCTTGTAAAAGAGACGTGTATAAAAAATATTGTATAAATCACATCCCTTGTAAGCGTACTGTGCACTTCCGTAGTAAAATTGCGCTTATACAAAGCTAAAAATTTTCATGTGAGAACACTACGATAACATTGCTATGTATGTACAGTTGCCGGCCATTTCTTCGACCGTCCTGTTGTTTGTGAATTTGCCCAACTAGTACCTACACTCTGCAGTGGCACCATAGCATGTTCCACATTGCCAGTGTAAACCCTACTCATGCGGTTTTCCTAACATTTACTTTCAAGCGCTCGCCAAAAGTCATCAAAAACTGAGAAAATGCAAACAGCCTTGCTGGCACGCTTTTCCTTCTTTAACGGCTCGAATCCAGATCAATCACTTTTCGTATATTGCATGTGTATTATCAACTAATCTCCCACGCAGCCCTGATAGAAAGCGCAGATTTCTACATGATCCCACAAGGCAAGCATGCGTAAGTTAACTGCAATATTGTACGTGGTTGGTCATAAAAATGGCACTGGAGCAGTATGCTATGAGTGACAGCGACATTGAGATCTATGTTGACCTGACTGATATGTTATTTCAAATATTATAAGTGAAATACAATACACTCAAACCTCAATATAACAAACCTGGATATAATGCAATATTTGTTATAACGAAGTAAACGATGAATAGTCTTGCGACAGGCACAGTGTTAAGAATATACCTTCGTGGCGAATTTTTGGATATAACAAACTTATTTTCACGAAAGATGCAAGTGTGTTATAACGAAGTTTGACTGTATAACACTCCACCCTGCGTCATCACACTGGTTCATTTTAATAACGTGTCGACAGCCTGGATAGCCTGCACTTAAGCTTTTCATCTTTAGCCACCACACAATATCATGGGCTCTTTCAAACCATGTGTTTTCGCTAGAATTTTATGCAGTCTGGAGTGCTGCATTGCAGTGTTCTAGACCAGCCTCTTGAGCTCTGTACATGCCTTGACTTCTGCATAGTCGATATTGGAAATTGTATCATGCAGCCTAAACAAATAAAAGGGTGTCGACAAGCAATTTATACTTGTCGCAGATTTAGCAGTGCATGTGGCCTCTAACACTCAACCATTTTTCAAATACATCAGCGCTCTATAGTGTTAGGAAATTCACCCTATCATCATTAAAAATGTGGTACACTACGAAGACAGCACACCTTATGTACTGTGTTCTGCTGATATCAGTGATTATGGTCGCTGTTTCACATACGTTTCGTAAGTTAGTTGTTACCACCCTTTAGATGTACTGAACAAAAATATGAAAAGCTGTCAAAACATGGAAAGTAAACTCTGAAAACGTGACTGTTCCTTTAAGCAGAGCTCATTTAATGTCTTTTTTTAATAGTTGACTGCTTTTTTTTTCTTCAAGAAATGTTAGAAGCTACAACTGCTGCTTCTTCCGACCCTCACCTACGCCACCAATGGTCCCCTTAATTTAGAGGATTCACAAAGACACATACTTTTAAATACATTAGACACACAACTGTCATTGGACAATATGAGAATGCGACTTAGTATTTCTCCTACCGCTGATCACTAGTCATTTGTGAGCGAGAGAGATGTTCCGCGCTGTTTCAACAGGCGTTCGAAAAGCATTGGGAGGAACACGGCTACCGAAGATGAGCATTGTTCTACGAGATTCATCAATGGTGCAGGTAATGTTGTCACTAATCAACAAAGAGAGAAAAAAAATTTATGGGCTTTACTTGAAGTCACCGCAGGGGATATAATATGCATGTTTTAGCTCTCCTGCTACTGCCCATTATATACCTCTCCTTTACATTGCACACTCCCCCATCAGCAAAGACATTAAAATGTGGCCCTCTATGCAGGGACGTTGCCCAACCCGGAAGAATTGGTCACAGCCAGTGTCAGTCTTATTGGGTCTAGGAGTTGTAGTGGGTTCAGAAACTTAAGCGATGGTTGGCATTGTTACCATGGCTGTCTCTCAGTGCACTAAATGTTGGCAAACAGTCTTCTCTAGTTCACGGCACAGTTGCAAGGCGAGGCAGTCTGTAAAAAGTGCAGTATACTGATTTTCCATTTCTTTCTTCCTGAAATGAAATTGCCTTGCCGCAGTGGTCTAGTGGCTGGCCCGCAGGTTATGGGATCGAATTCTGGCTGCAGCGGCTGCATTTTCGATGGCAGCGAAAATGCTGCAGGCTCGTGTGCTCAAATTTGGGTGCATCAACCCCAGGTGGTCGAAATTTGCGGAGCCTTCCACTACGGTGTCTCTCATAATCATATAGTGGTTTTGGGAAGTTAAACCCCACATATCGATCCAATCAATCTGAAATGAAATTTTCCTCTATCGGGATCCAGCGCCCATTCTTTCAATTTGACTGAAAATCTTGCAGTCGAACATTTTGTTTATTACTCATTCAGCTAGAAGATCGTAAGACCAGAAACTGGGTTTCCTGTCTTACGATCTTCTGAACAGAAGCGTTTGAAAAGCATTTTTTGTGATAAATATTCATGGGTGCTATTGTATAAGTACAGTAAACCTCATTAATTTGAAGTCAGTGGGATGCAAGAAATCTTTGAAATAAGTGGGTTTTCAGAATAACTTACTAGAAAGATTGGGGTGCAGGGAATTTGGAATTATTTGAAATAATAAGGGGTGGTCATTTGCTGTGTCGACTAGCTTACAATTACAGGGTGACTTTGTGCAAAAATACCTCCTTATCCTAATTGTGTCGCAAACATGAAGGATGGTGGGGCTTGCTGCTGCCGCCGAAAAAAAGAAAATGTGAAAGAAAATGCTGTCGTGATGAACTGAATTGCCCGCCTGCAGAAAACAAGAAATCTACACTGCAACATAGCAGTGACACATGGGTAGCACGTGGCCTGCTCCTCTATTCGTCAGCAAGTCATGCTATAATCGTTTGTCCTTTCTCTCGGGTATATAAAATAATTTAATAATGGCCAGTGTGACGAAATTTGTGATGTGTTTTGGTTGGAAAACATAATAATTGAAGGTTTCAAACTTGGGCAAGAACTCTGCCAGCTGTGCGAATGTTCAAAATGCTGGAACAATCGATAATGAGAGGCTCTCATAATTGCGGTTTTTGCCTACCTGCCCTTTGTTAATGTCTTTGCAGTAATGTTGCGAGAAACATGTCATATGCCTGCACATTACTGGTGTACTGCAGTGAAGAACAACTTGTTTTCTGCAGGTGCATATTTTTATTTCTCACAGGGCACCAACAGTTTTCTTTTTGTTTGTCTTTTTTGTTATGCTGGAAGTGGCGACGCTAGCGTGCTTCAGCTGCCAATCATTAGTACTTTTAAGTTGCACTGACTTGTAGCTCTTAAGCACTGGTGTTTTTGTAGGTTTTCGTCAAAATAGGCATTGTTAATTGGCACATGACACTCAAGGTTCTTTAATTAACCTTTATCGGCACTTATAATTATCTGCTCAGACTTACATTGCAAAATACGATACCACTGAATTATTTTGAATTAAGTGTGATTTTGAAATGACGGAGTTAGAATTATTGAGGTGTTACGGTACACCATATTTAGCCAAAACTACAGCAATAATTTTTGCTCACTTCCAGTGGTTCTTGATTCAACTTGCTTGTTAGCACATTGCTAACATCCTCGCTGAATAGGCCTGCCAAAATGTTTTGCATTGACATCAGTGACACACAGAGTGACTGAATAGTCTAGTCTGTGCTGAAGCAAACATGGTTTCCCGTGTTCTGAAGAACCTTTCTTCTGTTTGGTCCAGGGTAACCAAGAAGGCATCAATGATCTGTAAATGAAGAACGGATCACTCACCTCTGCCTGGTTAAAATATACCAATGCATTGGCAGTGTTGCTGCAGTGAATCTCATCATCTGGTATTTATTGCAAGGGCCACTGTTTCTACGTGGTAAGAAATACTCATTTGATACTTCAAAATTATCTTTTATTGTAGGGAGCTCCAAGTGTATGATTACTGTGCTGTATTTGATTATATTAGGCTTCAGCTGCATACTGCAAAGGAGTATTAAATTCGCCACAAACAACATGCTAAATACTAACAGCCTTTCCTATTTTATTTCTATTTTTTTCCAAATAGGGTGACATTGTCCAGGAACTAGAAAATTTTCGTTAGAAGTAGGCATCCGTGCCTTTAGACTAATAAACTTATCATTGAAGTGTACAGTGTTGCATTAGTTCATGCAATCGTAGTGCTTTGACCCTAATATTGTTATGGAGATGAAGTAAAGGAAGAGGAAGGACACAATCAGCTGACAGGCGCGCGAGTGTGCCATTCTGCCATTGTGACTCTTCTTGCCTGTAGTTTTTCTTCTGTAAATGCATTTTGTACAGAAGTCACCGACCCCGTAACATATTGGTGAGAGGTACGAAGTAACCATCAGGCAACGGAGCTCCACAGCGGACGTTGCATCGGTTTTCCAGCCATGGCCAATGCTGAGCCCTCCGCATCAACGTCAGCGTCTCCAACGAACACGGCGTTGCAACCATACGTTTTCACGCCACTTAAGGATCCCGGTACATTCTGCAGGACCGATGGTGTCGACGTTGACGATTAATTGGCCATGTTCGAACGAGCGAGTGTGCCGAACAGATGGGATCCCACACTTCAGTTGGCTAATGTGCTGATTTACTTGAGAGGCACGGCCAAGGTGTGGTATGAAAACAACGAAGAGGAACTCACAAGCTGGGACCAATGCAAAGAAAATATACAAGAGGTGTTTGGCAAAAACCGCCAGTCGTAAGATCGCCACCAAAAAGAAATTGGCCTGCCACGCCCCATCCCCCACGGAATCATACCTCGCATACATTCAATATGTGCTGGCCCTTGTCGAAAGCGACATGACAAAAGGGGACAAGGTCGGGCATGTCCTGAAAGGGATTGCCGACGATGCATTCAATCTCCTGATGTGCAAGGGCTGTTCCACCGTGTACGCGATCATCAAAGAGTGTCGTCAGTTTGAGGAAGTGAAAAATCGCCGCATTCTACAAACATTCGCCTGACTTCCAAACACCACTGCAACATCGACTTGCGAGGACCAGTCCGCACTACAATGTCCGTCGCCGCCGGGCCACCTGACACGCATTGTTCATCACAAACTGGAAGCAATGGTGCCCTCGGCATTCTATTCCTTCAGTACCGATACCACTCTTGTTACTGTTCCTCTTGTTCAAGCTATCGTGCGCCAGTAGCTTGAAAACATCGGAGCGCGTTCCGTGTGCCATGTCACTGTGCCCAGAGTCAGCGAACGCCTTTCGCGATGCCCTCCTCTGATTGATGGTTTTCTCCACGTACCCGCAACCTGGCTGAGTGGCGAACTGCAGATCACCGCCCTATATGTTTCAACTGCCACCGAGTTGGACATATTGCTCGTTACTGCCGCAAAACATGGTTCTCGGCACCTCGTGCAATGACCAATATGACCCGTTTCAAGAGTACTGCCTGCACCTTTTCACCTGCCGAAGAGTCTTCACCTGCCCTTATGATGTTATCCTAGGCCTGGACTTCTTGTCGAATCATTCTGCTCTTATGAATTGTGCTACCGGCGTCCTTCAGCTGGAACTGCCTCAAATGGTCGATGAACCCCACACTTCCCCGCTGTGCCTGTGCACTCTTCAGGATGTGCGACTGTCACCTCAGGCAGCTACTTGCGTCGTTTTGACTGCACAGCCGCAGGTTCCCAATGGGCAATATGTCCTCCTTCCTCTCGCCAGCGTCCTTTTGAGCCGCAACATCGCCATTCCCCATACGGTTGTGACTGTCACTGACAACTGTATCTCGCTCTCACTACTCAATTTCAGCTTGTGCCCTCAAGTGCTTTCTCGTAGCATGTTCTTGGCCAGCGTATCTAATGCTGACGAATTCGAAATAGCTGCTCTCACCACCGAGATTGATTTACTTCAGACTCCTGTAGCTAACAACACCTGTTCCCTCCCAAATCGTTTCTTGAAGTTGATTGCACCCAGTCTCAATCCTGCCCAAGCCAACGACATCTATCGCCTTCTCGCATCATATACCGACATTTTTAATTTCGATGACAGACCTCTAGGGCAAACATCCACCGTTCAGTACCGTATAAACACTGGTGATGCCAGTCCTATTCACTGATGCCCCTATCGTGTCTCCCACGCTGAGTGCAGAGTTATCCAAGCGGAATTTTACAAAATGCTCAACAAAGGTGTCAGAGTGTTACGTGGAAATAACAGTAGGCAGTTCACAGCCTCAGCACAGCTCACCAACAGTGTACACTTCTTCACTCTTAGTCTGAGGCACCCTCTTTGGATATGTCCCGCTATGCCCTGTTACAGTCAGTTGAAACCACGTAACACAACCCCCAGCGGCAAAAGCGCCGACCCGGCGAGCTTACGGGGCCACAACAGCAGCAGTGTGGTAATGCCTGAGCCTTGATACGTGGACGATGTCCCAGGACAGCAGAGCAGAAGAGGTTGATGGATCATCAGGAACAATTTCATTTGTAGTGTCGGTCACTCGTCTAAGCACGCGGTATAGGACCAGGAAACGAGAGAGAAGCTTCTCTGAAAGGCCTGCATGTCACGTAGTGGACCAAAGAAAAATGAGAGAACCTGTCGGAAAGTGTTCATCGCGATGCCGCTCGTCGTAACGATGCTTCTGCGAGTCTTGGGATGCCGTTAATCTGCTGCGGGCAAGCTAAAGAGCATGGTCAGCTCGGGCAATTGCGTCGCTTGCATATTCAGAAGTAGACTGTGCACTGGCTGGAAGGAAGGTATCCAACGGCAATGTTGGTTCGTGTCCAAACAAGAGGTAAAATGGCGAGTACCCAGCAGTGTCATGCCGGGAGGAATTGTACGCGAACCTCACATAGAGTAGTGCAAGGTTACAATCACGATGGTCGGCCCAAACGTATTTCGATAACATGTCCGTCAGGGTGCGGTTTAAACGTTATATAAGCCCATTTGTATAGGGGTGGTACAATGTCGTGAGCTTATGTTGGGTAGAGCAGGAGCGCAGGATACCGTGAACCACTTTCGAAAGGAACGTACGACCTCGGTCTGTCAGCAGTTGACGAGGGGCTCCATGCACTAAAATGAGATAGCGTAGTAGAAAATCAGCGACGCCTGTAGCACTGCTTGTTGGCATGGCTCGCGTAACAGCATAGCAGGTCGTAATCTGTAGCAACCGCGACCCACTTGTTTCCGGAGGCGGATGTTGGGAAGGGACCGAGAAGGTCTTAACCAACGCGGAAGAAGGTCTCCAATGGCATGTCGATGGGTTGAATATACCCGGCAGGGAGTCCCGACCGGCTTCTTGCGGTGCTGGCTAATTTCACAAGCGTTGACATAACGACGTACAGAGCGTGAAAGGCCAGGCCAATTGAAGCGGCGGCGCACGCGGTCATAGTGCGAGAGACACCAAGGTGACCTGCGGTTGGCACGTCATGGAACTCGCTGAGGACTGTGGAGTGCAGGTGCTTTGGTATGACCAGAAGCAGGTCGTGACCATTGGGCGATAAATTAAGCCGATATAAGATGTCGTCCTTTAAGGTAAACATGCAAACAGAAGCGTCGTGCGGTGAAGATTCGAGCTGTTGCGGCTGATATCTGGATCGTGACGCTGCTCGTCACCGAGGTGAAGCAGCTGGGAGATGGAAAGGACGCAACCCACAGAATCAGGTCTTCTAAGATCGCAGTCGGCCACCGGGTAGCGTGACAGACAATCCACAACTTTGTGCAGTTTTCCTGATTTATACACTATGGTGTGAGAATACTCTAGGAGGCGGAATGCCCAGCGGGCGAGACGACTTATGGGATCTTTGAGGGAGGCGAGCCAGCAAAGAGCGTGGTGGTCGGTGAGAACTATAGATGGTCGGCCCAAATTTAGTGACTGCCCACACCAGTGCTAGGCATTCGCTCTCTGTGATGGAATAATTCTGCTCCGAGGGGGACAGCAGTCTGCTGGCATAAGCTATCACGCAATGCTGCCCATGTTGTCGCTGAGCCATCACAGCGCCTATTCCGTAACCACTGGCATCGGTGCGGACTTCGGTCGGTGCCGTAGGTTCGAAGTGAGCCAGAACAGGAGAGGAAGTGAGCAAAGTGGTGAGGGTGGAGAATGCTGCTGCTTGCGAGGGACCCCAGGTAAACGTCTCATCTGGTTTGAGTATATCTGTTAGGGGCCGAGCAATTTCCACGAAGTTCTTGATGAACCTTCGAAAGTAGAAGCAGAGCCCCACAAATCTGTGGACATCTTTGGCGGTTTTTGGCACAGGAAAGTACTTCACAGCTCGAACTTTTTCTGGGTCGGGCTGTACATCATAAGCGTAAACAATATGCCCAAGTATTATAATGTGACGGCGACCAAACCGGCACTTGGGTGAATTCAGTTGAAGGCTCATGAAACGGAATACAGCAAGAATTTCGGACAGTCTCTCAAGGTGCTCTTCAAAGGTGGGAGCATACACAACCACGTCATCCAGATAACAAAGACACATAGACCACTTGAATCCAGTAAGCAGGGAGTCCATCATTCGTTCGAAGGTGGCGGGGCATTACATAAGCCGAAAGGCATGACCTTGAATTGGTAGAGACCATCAGGTGTTTCTAAAGCCATCTTCTCTCGGTCTATGGGGTCCACGGCAATCTGCTAATAACCAGAACGAAGATTGATGGAAGAAAAGTAGGCAGCACCATGGAGGCAATCAAGGGCGTCGTCAATTCGTTGCAGAGGGTATGCGTCTTTCTTGGTGATGTTGTTAAGGTGGTGATAGTCCACACGAAATCGCCACGATCCGTCCTTCTCTTCAACTAATACTACCGGGGATGCTCAGGGACTGGAGGATGGTTCAATAATGTCCTTCGCTAGCATCTTGTTTACCTCCTTCTGAATGATGCTCCGCTCAAAAGCAGACACTC